TTGTTCGCTTATATTTCTTTGCTTCTTGGTTTCTTGTTTCTGAATACTGGGTTCATCTGTCAGTTTGTTATTTCTTTCTATACTTACCTCTTTCTATTCTTCTCTTTGTGATATATTTGTTTCTTCTTGTTTCTTATATTTTCAATTTCTTCTTCTATATTTCTTTTCCTTTCTTGTTTTCTTTCGATACTCTCTTCTTCATTTTCTTTTGTTATCACTTGTTGTTCTTTGTTTTGGTTATACTGTATTTGCTTTCCTTTTGTTTTTGTTGTTAAGTTTTGGTTTTTTATATTTAGTTTTTTCTCTGGCTGTTCTTTCTTAGCTTTCTCTAAAATTTCTCTTGTTAGTCGTAAAAGTGCCACTTCATTAGGGTCTTGATTTGTGAGCAATGCAACAATTTTGTCTTTTCTATTTGGTACTGTGTATGTTTTGCTCATCTCATTGAAAAAAATTTTGTTATGCACACTATTTATAGCCCAGTATGCTCTTTTTATGAAAAGTGCTTGTAAACTTTCTCTATACTCTACAGGAAGATTTTTGTTCATATTTACGATTCTATTCTTTTAGGATGTTCTATCATATGTTTGTTGTATTTGTTTGTTTGTTCCACAAGTGGCTTGTTTATCCTATTCTATTCTAAAATTTTGCATATGTTTGTTTTGTCCAAGCTATATGTAGAGATGGCCAATTATATGATATCATATAAAAAAAATAGTATAATAACCATATAATTGGTATAGTATAATTAAAATTATACCATATAATTGGTATATTATAATTGTGTAACAAAATCAGCAAATAAAAATTTTTTAAATTTTTATTATTAAAAAATTAAGATTTTTACAAGTAATGATAATAATAGTATCGATACATAATGGGAAAAAAAAAGACTGCTGTATAGAAACATTAGACAGTTCTTCCAAAAAATTCAACTAAAAACCAAGACAATAATCAAGCTGAAGACCAAACTAAAGACCAAGCTGAGGACCAAGATGAAGATCAAGCTGAAGACCAAATTGAAAATCATAATAAACCACATCCTCATGTAAAATGCAAATATTGCCCAAAAATTTTGACCATGGAATTGCTACTCGAATGCAAGCACATCTTAATAATACTTGTTTAGGAGCATCAGAAAATGCCAAATCAAATTCTAAACAAAAAAATATTCAACCTAATATATCAATACCTTATATTTCTACTAGTTCGCATATTCCAAAATAATCAAAAACTATACTAATTAATAATTTTATAGATCATTTAAATAATAAAGAACAAGAATCTCTTGAGTATATATTAGCACAAGCTTTGTTTGCAACAGGAGTACCATTTTCATTTCTTGATAATCCTTATGTGATTAAATTTTTTCAACATATTCGTCCTGCATTCAAATTACCAAATCAAAAAAAGCTTGCAGATGAGTTAATAGATAAAGTTTATGAGAATGTAAAAAAGGAATCTGATAAACAAATTTTAGAAGCACAAAGTTTATGCATGATCTCTGACAGCTGGTCCAATATTAATCAGAAATCTGTACAAAATTTTATTGTTTGTACTTCAATACCTTTTTTTTTTGAGACTGTTTACTCAAAAGAAGAATCTCATACAGCAAAATAGATTGCTAATCAAATAATTCAACGAATGGAAGCAATTAATATTGAGAAATTCTTAGCAGTTATAATGAATATAGCCAATGTAATGAAAGCAGCATGGCATATTATTGAAGAAAAATATCCTAAAATTGTTTGTTTTGGATGTGCTTCCCATACTTTAAATTTATTGATTAAAGATATTTTGAAAATTCATAACATAAAGTCAGTAATAGATAATGCAACAAAATTGGTTAAATATTTTAAATCATATTTACAAGCATTAGCAAAACTTAGATAAATTCAATTAGATAACTATAATAAAGAAATTGCATTAGTTTTACTAGTAATAACATGATGGGGTACTCATCTTGAATGTCTTCAATCACTTTAAAAATCAAGAACTGCAATAGAACAAATGTTAATGGATTCAAGAATTTGTGAAACAATAGATGCAAGTCTTAGAATTTATGCACTATGTGATGAATTTTGGGAAGATTTAGATTTGATAACAAATATTTTACAACCAATCATAGTTATATTAAAAATATTTGAATCAGATAATATTATGCTTTTATCTATTTACTCTAATTTTAGAAAAATAATAAATACAATTCAAGATATTTCATGCAATTTTTTAAATGAAATTCAATCTTGTATTGAAGCATGATGGAATTATGTTTATCATTTAATTATGATGGTTGCTTATATGTTTGACCCACGATTTTTAGAAGAAAGCAAAATTTGCAATATAGAGCCTATAGGATACAATACATTTAATACATTTACAAATCAAAAATTTGAACAAGAAAAATCTGTAGAATTGTTTATTAAAATTGTTAAATTTCGAAACAAAAGTTCTCCATATGATGATTATATTATTTGGGAATTAGCAGCTATACTTAACCTGGGTATCTTTTTATCTAAATAATATTGACTTACATATTTTTATAAATTACTAACTTTGTATATAAATTTATTAATTTTTATAGCATTGTGATAGGAATTATAGCCAGATAGTAGTCTTAAGCAACTAGCAATCAAAGTTTTTAAAATTCCAACATCGTCTGCTGCAGCTAAATGAAATTTTTCTACATTTGACTTTATATACAGTAAACTTCACAATCGCTTAAACAACAGTCAAGTTAAAAAACTAGTTTATATCTATAAAAACCTTCGAATGTATGTTAAAAACCAGTAAATAGCAAGAATGAAATCAAAATTAACAATAGCAAGACTAATTAAAAAATTAATCATGAAATTTATGATGAAATTAAAGAAATAGAAAATATAATTTACACAGAAGGAATTTGTGAAAATTTCGATGAAACTAAACAAATTTATTCATCTGACATTAAAAATAATTCAATGGTGAAATTGGAATCAAAATATAGTATAATTAACATCTGATAATTTTGCAAAATGGTAAAAAATCTTTTTTTAGAATTATTATTAATTTTTAATTCTCACATTTTTATTTTAATATATGTAGAATGTATCACAAATATATTTTAAGATACACGAGCATCTATATACATATTAAATTTTCATATTTGAATTAATATGTATTTGACTATAATTTTTTTTTTCTCAAAAAAATAAAAATTGCAGCAGTAGAGAATATACATATGCACATATATACCTTTTATCTATAACTGATAAGCAGTTTTACTATGTAAATTCAATTATGATAAATAAAAATTATATAGTCATGTAATTGATTTTAATATAACTTATCTATATACTGTTATTATACAATAATTATACAATATAATAACCTGGTATTTATACTAAATTTTATTATATGATATAATTTCCAACCCTAGCTGTATATGTTGTTTGTGTAATCCAAACAGATCTATGTATAGGGTCATTAGCAATTCCCCAAGTTTTTCCTTTTTACTAAAATTTTTATAAAAAACTTTGATTTTCTTCTATAGCTATTTTATTAACACTTGCAGTGCTTTTTGCTTCTAAGCTTATTTGTTGCTTTTTTTGTTGCTATTACTTTTCCTTAGTGTTGTTAAGAGTGTTATCTATTGCTGTTAGTGCAGAAAGTTGATTTCTTTTTTCACTGATTTTGTGTTCAAGTGATCGTTGAAAAGAGTGATGATTTGCAATTGGTAACATATATTAATTTTAAATAAAAATTTTAATATACTATATATAACTATATAAAAATAATTTATATACTTTCTATTCTTAAATAAAATAACAATGTCAGATTTTATTATATTAAAAAACAAACTTTATAACTTTAATTTACTTTTTTTTTGTATATTTTTATAAAAAATTTTTTTATTAATTATATTTTTATTTTTTGAAAAAATTTATATATAGCTGTAACTACATGTAGTCAATATTATATAATTTATAGTATATTATATAATATATAATAAATATTATACTATATATAATACTATATATATTATATTATTTTAATATACTACTATATATTATATAATTTAATAATTATATAATCTTATAATATATAAATTACAATAAAATCATATAATTCTAATAACTAACTAATTTACAACTTTATAATCTATAAAACTAATAATCACTAATCTAATTTATGAATATCATTCTAAAACTTAATTCTAATTCTAACTCTAACTCTAACACTAAGTTTTAACTACTAACCAACTAACTCTAACTACAAATTGTTAATTATAACTCATTAATTGCTAATTAATTTATCTAGCAGATTACTAATTATAACCTGTTAATTATTAAATTATAAAATCTAATATATTAACTTTTAATTTATTATTTACTAACAACTAAACTAAAACAAACTTACTATTTTTATCATATTATCTACTAATTAATTTGCTTATTAGCTAATTCAATAATACTTATTTACTAATTATAATATACAGATTATAAATTGCTAAATCTAATATATTAACTACTATTAATAAATTTTTTTTTTGATATTAAGATGACCTCTTTGGTCTTTTAACTTTTATTAATTACTTATCAGTATTGTAGTTCAATAAATCACTACAGAAGAGAGTACAATTGGTTACATATATAACTTTTTTATATTACTTATTTAAGAAGTCCACCTGAAGGTTCTCTATCAATTGCTGTACCTAACACTCCTGCTTGAGTGTTCTACTTTAAACTCACTAAATCTGTAACTTGTATTAACTTATTGAGTTATACCTAGATGCCCAGATCATCATCTCAATCTTAGGACTAATTTATTCTTGAGTTAAACTCCTTAGAGCCTTCTGTACTCATTTTTACAGCTAATCTAGATATTGCTATAGTAGAACCAACACTTGTGATCAGGACTAATCATTAAACTACTGTGCCTTTGTAGAGTTTACTTAGACCCTAGCATCTACTTTATAGCATAACCCTGGTACTTTAGTATACTTCTGCCTTTTCTTCTACCTTTTTACCAAACTCCCAATCCAAATAGCCCATATAGGACTATAACCAGTTTATTGATATATCAGATCAGCCTAATATTCTTTTTCTCTACTTTTTGGCTTTTTTCTTCTTTCATTAACCCAGTATACTCGAAAATTGTTGTACATAATTAGTTTTGACTATGCTGCTCTCATATCTTCCTCTGTTGCAAAAATAATTAGTGCTGTTCGCTTCTGGTTCCCATTTCAGTTTGGTGGAATGTATACTGACTTCACTCCTTTACTTTTTAAGCATCGCAATAATAAGACTTCTGAAGCATTTCCAGGTAGCTCAGTTAGTTTGGCCATATGTTTCCTTTGTCTTTCTCTTGCTTTGTAGTCTTTTCTTTCTCTTGTTACTCTTACCAGCTT